TGGGTGGATGGATGGACGGGTGGGTGGGTGGGTGGGTGGATGGATAGATGTTGGGTGCACTGACAGGCCTCACCCTACCCAGAAGATTTGGTCTGAGGTTGCTGCCCAAATGCCCTGAGGAGAAGGGTGACAAAAGGAAAAGTCCACAGTATTAGATTTCTCTCAAGCTACTGTTTGTTTTAATTAGGTCCTTGTTTATCTTTCTTTTGAGTGTCTGGGTATGGAACGTTGTTTGTTTTCATAACTAACAAATCTAGGCTTTCTGAGTGATAATAATAAAAAAGAAAACAGCTGCCATGGGAGAATAAATGAGAGAAAGAGAAAGGAATCTCAGAGAAGCTGAAGGAAAAGTCCGTGTGTGGCATGAGTCCCGTGTTTCTTGGGAACCATGTTTACCTGGCAGTTCTTGCTTGTAGGTGTCCCCTGTATCCTGTGCCTATACGTCCCATTAACCGAGCTGTATGTTCCTCCAAAGGATTTTTATTTAATTTTTGTGTGTGTGGGATGATGATGGGACCCAGTTCTTGTATACGCTAGGCAGGTGCTCAACCACTGAGCGACATCCCCAAGGCCTCACTTTTTATTCTTATGAGAAAAAAATAGCGTTTGCCTTTCTCGCCTTCCACTTCAATATTACATTATTTTTTTAATGTATCATTCTGTAATTCTTCCAGGATTATCCCAGGGTCACAGCTTCTTGTCTCTGCAGTTAAATTACTGTATGTTTCGCTCATATAATTGAGTTGGTTCTCAAAAATTAATTCTAGTTCAGTACAATCTTCTCATAAATTATTTTCACAAGACCAAATAGGGTTTATAAAGGAGTTGGGGGAAACCCTTGGTTTAACATCAGGCATTTACGGAGTTATTAAAAGGAAAAAAACAGCTTTATTGCTTTTTATCTATTATCAGTTGAAGACTTAAAAATAGTCATTGCTGGTGTTTGGTTAGGAAGGATTTATTTTGGCTGAAGAGAGCAAACATGTACTGCTTATTAGAATCTTTTTCTAGTCAGCGCATTGATCAGACATCTTAACTTATTTTAAGCGTTGCCATAAAAGACTATAACTCTGGGCCTCTGCTCTCATTCCTGTTAAGGGATGGAGTCAACTGCACGGATCTGATGCATTTTATGTCTTAGACATGTTAGTTCAAGAATTTCACCTGGTTTCCTGATGATAGCCATCTAGAGTGGATAGCCAATCCAAACAGAGAGGCAGTCAGTTGGTTTCTGACTCTCTTCAGCCTTCTCTCTTCTTCTGGCTTGCAAAATACCTGGTTATCAGAGAGAAAGTGAGTCAGCATAGTGTTTGGTTTAAGTAGCTACTAAATGTTTCTTCTGTGGCTTAATAATGTGTTCTTAGTTTTTTTGAACTAAAATATATTGGTGTATTCCATGTAAACACCAGAGGAGGTAAAACACTTAAGATTTCCTTAGGGCATCAGAATAATGAACCATTTACTTATAGTTTGCTGACTCTAAGCCCAGATCAACTTTGTTTTTCATTCTATGCCTTCCTCAATTTCTCCCTATTAATAAAGACAATTTTAAAAAACGCACTGTTTTTAGGCAAAGTGGTGTGTGCCTTGACTCCAGGCAGATCTCTGTGAGTTTAAGGCCTTGTTGGATGACATAGTGATACTCTGTTTAAAAAAAAAAATCACTGTGCCTGGATTTTTGAGGCAATGTGCGGTCTCTTGCCAGAGTTTCAAATTTATAGCCCTGCCTACTGTCTTCACTAGTCTGTCTTATGCAATCAAAGAATGAAGATGTTTATTTGATCTGAGGCCTATTTACTTGGTAGCTTTTGTAAAATACATCTAAAGATGGAGTCTTGCATTTCTTTTCAAATCCACCCTCCCTCCATCCTGTTCTAGTTGAGTCTGGTTCTTACGTTGCAAAAGGGATCAAGAGCCTGTGTTCAAACAGTTCACTAGTTTGCATCTTGTCTTTAGTGAACAAGGCAGTAGACGCCTGTGTGATGACTCTAAATTAGCATGTGGAATGTATTTTTGCTTTGTTTTGAGAATGGAAAACGTCATTCCCTCGGTCCTTAGTCTAAATTCAAGACTTTCCCCTACAAAATGTTTGGCATTGTGTGTGGACTTCCCATGGGAGCAGTTAATGAGAGGTAACTAAGTTAGAACCAATAACTTGTGTTGAGCCACTCAAGAGAGGTGAGGAAAGGTAACCCCAGAGTGGACTTCTGAGGGGTCCAGTTGGGTAAAAAGGGCATTGATGTAAGGTGGAAATTAACATGCATGGATGGGCTTGTATGTGCCCAAGGCCAATGAGAAGCATTTGATGGAAGAGAATCAATATAGAAAGGAAAGGAAAGAAAGGGGATTCATAATTAGATGACTTGATCAACGTGAGCACTGTCATTATCCCTTGACATACATTGACTCATTTCTAAAGTCTTAGAATAATGGTGCAATAATTATATAATATTATATATGTGTATCATTATCTTTTCTAGCTTAGACAGGAGGGGCATGGCCAGATGCTTACTCAGCATCCCTTAGCCAGCACTTGACAGACTAACTTCCACTCAGCCTTCCACTCTGAGCTGAGTTTAGATATTCTGCAACTCATTTGAATATCTAATGAATTTTAAAGATCCCTCATTTTCTCTTGGAAGTTCTGAAAAGTTTGATTTATGACAGTTCTTCTAACATTATTTTGTGAGTGGCCTGAGAAATCCCATAAAACCGAGACCCAAACCAATCCCACCCCAAAACAAAGCTTACAGAGAGAAACCCTGACCTTGTGAATATACGTTGCTTCTGACATTTTCCTGCAGAACGGGGATGCTGTTCAGTGGCAGAGCACTCGCCTAGCATGTGGGAAGCCCCGGGGCTCCATTTCCTGCACCACAAACAAAACCCACAACATATTGTCCAACACAGGTCATGTGTAGGGGAGAGGATTTGCCCAAATAGCTCCTAAAGCTGTCATCTGAGGCATAAATTAAAGATAACAGAGCTTTTGCTCACTTGAGGCCAAGCCATGGCTCTTGAACACACCTTATAAACAGAAGCTTCTATGTCGCGTCTGACTTGTTGGGTTTCCCTGAAATGATACTGAGTTGATCTTCTCACTTTCACTAGGACACAATGACTACATGTGTCCAGCTACAAACCAGTGCACCATCGACAAGAACAGGAGAAAGAGCTGTCAGGCCTGCCGGCTGCGCAAGTGTTACGAAGTGGGCATGATGAAGGGCGGTAAGTACAACGGCCCGAGGTGCCCATGCCAGGGGGCTGCTCGCAGTAACCCCAGAGCTGGCTCTTCCTGTTTTAGTACGTTATCTCTATTTTTATCTATTCTTCGGTCTGAAAAAAAAAAACACCAAGTTTTCAGGATGCATGGTATCTTCTTTTTAATTAGAAGCAACTAGAACCAAGAATTCTAACACATCGCTTTGTGCTTTATATTTTCAAGGTAAATAATTACAATTTAAACCAAAGGTGTGTGGGAGGCACTGGGTAAAGGAGGACACTTCCGTGATTCACTCTGAGGAGGTGTTACGGTTACTGTTGGTATAGCTAAAGCTAGAAAATGATACCGGGTGATGAACTTCCCTCAACTGAGACTCCCGTATGGGAGAGCGGAACAGCTGCTGTGTCTCCTTCTATCATTTCGTGTTACTTAGGAAATCTGAATTTCAGTCAAAAGGCCTTGTAGAAGCTGAGTCGGCAGCCTTCCATAGCCCCTGGGTCTGGTGTGATGCTGGGAGGGGTGGGCAGGCTGCTGACTTTCAACAGATCCCCGAGTACATAGGCTGTGTGACATCGCTTTATCGTGTGGTGTGTGATATCGCTTTATCGTGTGGTCGCTGGTGTGTGTCTACATATGCACATACTCTCCTGGTTCCTCATGTATTCAGTCTCCCAGCTCTCTTGCATGGGACTCGAAAGTCCAATTTTCTTTAGGGAGATTGATGGATAATCCTACATGTGGTTATCTGAGAGATTCCCTTGGTTCCTTGAGTTGGGAATCTTACCTACGGAACATCGAGTCTAGTCTTGGGCAGCCTTCACTGGAGTGGCAGAGAACAAACAGGTATTGCAAGATGGAAGTCGAGTCCCAGATGCACTCAGATGTCTCCAAAGTGACATGAGGGTAAAGAAGCCATGTGGATTATCCTGGGGAGAAGCTTCTAGAAGCAGATGTGACATGGGATGACCTGAAGTTGTAATAGAACAGGGCACGTACATATGTGGAAGTCAGAGGACAACTTCAAATGTTGTTTCTCAGGCACCATCCACTTGTTTTTTTTTTTTCTTTCTTCAAGACAGGGTCCCTCACTGGCCTGGAACTGCTCAAGTAGGCTATATTAGCTGGTCACTAGACCCAGGCCTCTGCCTGTCTCCATTTCACCATTTATGAGTGTACCACTAATAGTTACTTTGTCTCAACAGCTGATGCATGCCTTTAATCCCAGCACTCAGGAGGCAGAGGAAGATGGATTTCTGTGAGTTTGAGGCCAGCCTGGTTTATAGAGTGAGTTCCAGGACAGCCAGAGCTGTTGCACAGAGAAACCCTGTCTTAGAAAAAAAAAAAAAGTTACCTTGTCTCATTGCTGTGATAAAATACTCAGACAAAAGCAATTTAAGGAAGAAATGGTTGATGTTTGCCTCCCTGTTTGAAGGTAGAGTCTAATATGGCAGGGGAATCATGGCATCATATGCTTGAGATGACTGGTCATAATACAGCCACAGTCGGGAGGCAGAGAATGATGGCTGTTCACAATCATCTCATTTTTTCCCCCTTTTTATGAAATCTAGGATCTTAGCCTGTGGTATGGCATTATGTCACAGTTAGGGTGAGTTTTTCCATCTCAGTAGCACGGTTTAGAAACTCCCTTACAGACATGTGCAAAGATTTGTCTCCTTGGTCATTCTAGACCTGTCAGGCCAACGGTCAATATGAGCCATCACCCCGGGATTACAGCCCTCACATTCATACCCAGCTTTTTCCATGTGGGTCCTGGGGATCCAACTCACGTCCCAAGGCTTACCAGAGAAGCTCTTTGTCCACTGAACTGCCTCCCCAACACAGAGGAAAGCTAGGTTTTAACTGATTAATGCCAGCACAAAGAGAGAAGAGGGGGAAACCAGGAGTGGCAATCGAGATGAGGGCATACTTGACCAGGACATGGCTTACTTATGGAAGATGTCTTTGTTCCATCGCCAGGATGAGACTCTGAACACAGCATTTGGAATCGTCTCTTAGCAATTGAAATGTTGAGTTTATGCTTTGTGTGAGATATGACTATATGCCTTAAATGCCTGTAAAAGCAACTTGAATTCAGAGGGTAATTAATTCTTAGAATTGAGCAGTCACATTCAGAAAATGACACTTTGGATTGTAAATGGATTCAATATTTAAGGAATTCGTCTTTCTTTGTACTGCTGGAAAATTAGTCAGGCTTAATTAAACTCCCAAGAAGCTTCCTATGGTAACTTGATAAGTGACAGGAATGTGACAGCTTCGTAGAGAACATTTCAGGTAGTAACAGGAGAGTCCACATTTCTCCTTGGCTAACTGCAGATAGTTTGAGCCAGGGATTCATTCTCTCTGAAAGGTGAAAGGATCATTTTGAATATGTCCAGAGCATTTTGAAAAAATGTTATGGCACTCATACATTGAGCCCCTTCCTAAAAACTATTCTTTTTTTTTAATCCTAATTATTATACAGACAGAGCCATCCTGGCTACAGAAACCTAAATGATGACCCTCATTTTCAGCCTAACAGGAATTCCAGCTTCCAAAGGCATACTGCAAGGCTTCTACTCTCAGATAGAAACGCAGATCATCTGCCTATGTTGGGCCAGTCTGTGTCAGCACATACTTGTACAATGCAAAATGTATGTCTGTATTAGTGTTCTGGGGCTGCTATAACAAAATGCTACCCACTGGGTATTTTAAATGACAAAAATTAACTTTCTCATGATACCGGGAGCTGCAAGTCTAAGGTTCACGTGGCAGAGAATTTGGTTTCTGGTGTAGGCCTCTCTTCTGGGCCTGAGGTGTCTTCATATAACCTTTTCTCTGCCCCCATAATTCTCTTTCTTAGAAGGACAGCAGTCCTGTTGAGTTAGGGGCCTACCTTTCTGACTTCATTTAATCTTTTTAAAAACAATTTTTAATTTTTATTTTATTTTTTGTGTGTGGGTATTTTGCTTAAATATATTATCTGTGCGCCACTTGCATGCCTGGTACTGGAGGTCAGAAATTGTCATCTGATCACCTGGAGTTGGAGGTACAGATGGTTGTGAGCCTCCATGGGGGGGGCAGGAATTGAACCTGGGTCCTCTGAAAGGGTAGTCAGTGCCCTTAACGACTGAGTCATTATCTCTTCAGTCCTGATGTCATTTAATCTTAATTATCTCTATGAAGGACCTGTACCAAATATCATGTTGTATGCTAGAATTTCGATACATAACTTTTCCTTTTGGGAGGTAAAATTCACTACTTACAACCTGCTGTAAGAAAACACCACAGATCAGATGGCTTAACAGTAGAAATCAGCCTTGTCCTGGTACTGGTGGCTGGAAGCCTTCGGCCTGTTTGGCAGCTGTGGTTTCTCCTGGTGCCTCCCCTTGGCTCACACCATGCCACCCCCCCCTCCCCGTCCTCATATGACCTTCCCTCTGCCCACACACTCTCTTCCTCTTTTTGTGAGGACACCAGTTATACCGGATTAGGGACTTATCTTTATGACCTTGTTTAAGTTTAATTAGCTCTTCAAACGCCCTGTTTTCAATGACAGATACACTCTCAGGTCCTGGGGGTTGGGGCGTCAGAATACAAATTCTGCAGGCATACAGTTCAATATTTAGCAGTGTCTTTTTAGGGTCCCCAGTCGACTGCTCAGGGTCTGTCTATACACACTGAGAATGTGTGTCTTCCTGGCTGTTTCTATTTATATACATATGCCTTGAGATGTGTTTTATCATAAAAACATAGCCTGTGAGAACATCTCATTTTAATGATCCATATAAAGTACCTTTTGTAAAGCATTATGATTTATTGCACAGGGTCCCACACATGACCTCATGGCACCATATGTATCAACTTCTCTTCCACTAAAGAATTTACAACTGGAAGTACCATTATAGTTAACTACAAAATTTGTACTTGTAAAAACACCTATGACTGAATAAATCTTTGCAGCATTATCCAACAAGTTCATAACCATCCAGTTTTTTAACCAGGCTAGATACCAATTGGGATATTGAATCTCTACATATGGAGCAAGACGGTAATTAGATTTTAGAATAGGGCTTGATACACTTACCAAAGATCTATTCTAAAGATCTAAGCATGCATGATTTAGGTACCCGGGGAGATAATTTTCATATTAGAATGCCTGCTGTCCCAGGAGGGTCCCATCACGATCAGATTTGTTCTGAGAACTGTGGTTCCAGAGGATGCAACATTTAGGATGTGCAATTGGGATGCTTTTTCATCTTAGCACCTATGCTGAGTTCTCTGTCTTGGTTTTTCTTCCTTCTTTGTTACTTAGTGTCTATTGTTTAGGAAGGTCTTCCCTGTTGCCTCAGGCTGGGTTAGGTTCTAGTGTTCTCACTTGCACAGCATAGCTCTCCTGGGAGAGCAACTCACTGCTATTAAAAGCTTCCCAGTGTCTGTATTCTTCTATAGTTCACAAATTCCAGGCTGGCTGTTTGGAGTTCTTTCTTTGCCCTGTTCAGCCCTAAAACAAGTCACACAGCAGAAGTTTAAGAAAGCTTCAATGAATGGACTCAGTCTGTTTAAATAATTATGTGTTTAGGATTTCTTATATGCAAGGTATTGTGGGTAAGGAGACTATAAATAAGACCCTAGTCTCTTCCGGCACTGTCCTCACAATACAAAGAGAACATCTGCAGGTCATCAAAATCCAGAAGACATGTTGAGGCTTGACTGTGTTGGAGGATGGATGGTTCAAATTATAAAACATCAGAGTGGGAGTCAAAGCATCAGATAGTTGCTCCTGGATTTTATCCAACCCAGCAGATCACCCAGGCCATTTGATTTCCAGGTATAAGTTATTTCTTGTGTGTTCAACAGTCTTGGTTAGTGAAAGGGGAAGGCTTCAGATGTGAAACCCTGATTCGAACACTGGCCCCTCCTCAGACTTGGTAGGCAACTCTGCTTGAGTTACTTTTTATAAGCCACGCTGTTCTCAGCTGCAAGATGAGAGAAACATTTTTTTTTC